CCCTGCCAGTGTGAATGTGTGATTTTGGGAAGGTTCAGCCTCTGCCTCTATCCCTCAACATATGGGTGTCCTATTTGCTTATTTTAATATAAAGCCTTTTCATTAATTAATAAAAAAAGGGGGATATGTAGGAAGCCGTTTTCCTGCATTATAATGGTGCCTAAAGACGCCAAGATGTAAATTACTTCACAGGCGCTGGGTAATTTCCATTCCTTTGATCTCTGCCTATCCCGTGGCTCATTTTTGCCTGAGGAGCTAAAGCCATTCATAGGGTAACACGTCCCAGGCGGCTGGTCAGCCTTTATAAGGGATGGTTTTCTTAGTTTAGTGTCTCTGCTCTGAGAAGCTTATGCTCTCCTCTCAAGATGCATTAAAGCTTGTCTGCAGAAGGATCCGAGTGTCCCGTGTATGATTTCTTGCTGGCGAGAAATACAGAGCACGCGCGGGACAAGGGTGTGCATGAAGATGTCAGGGGTAAGCTGAGAGGCGAGCCTCGAGAGTGGAAGAGGGCAAGGAGATAGCATTGGGCAGAGACCAGGGGGCTTCGTGGGTTTGTGGGGCAAGCTGAATGTAAAGTCTCTTACTATGTCACCTCAGAGGAATTTTATCTCTGAACCACGGAGATCTTATAGGGCAGAATACATTCCTTATGGCTACAGCTTAACAGGAAGCAAAACATCTACTTCAAAAACCAGAAACATGCCAGGACATGGTGGCACACACCTTTAATCCCAGCACTCTGGAGGCGTTCAAGGTTAGCCTGGCCTACATAGTGAGTTCCAGGACAGCCTGGGCTACATTGTGAGACCCTGTCTCAAGAGAACAAGTGAAAGCCCCAAGTAGTCTGAATATTGGTGGCAGATGCAATAGCCACTGTCACAACTCAAGCAACGGTGACATGACTCAGATGTGTCTCTTACAGTTTTAGAGCTGTGGACACATGGATCCTCATGAATCCCCAGGGACCTGAGATGGCACCAAGAGGATGGGGCCCAAAGTCCTACCTGGATGACTTATGGCTTACTCTGTGATGAAAGCCTGACCCTGGTCCCCTCTCCCCATCACCTGGCTTCATCCTGGTCTCTTGGTAGGCAGGTGGGTTTGAAGCCTCTGGCAGTACTAGTCCCAGTACCTGAAGCCAGGGAAACTGTTATGGTTTTAAGTCTGGTGCAATGAGAGGTCCCCAGCCAAGGCCCACTCCTCCAACCCTGCCCAGAACTCAGATGGACACAGAGCCCCTGGACACAGAGGGCATGTAGGGCTTTATTGGCTCCATTCAGGCATGTGGAGTCAGTGTGGGGCTCATGGCTGCTCCTGTAATCTGCCTCATGTCTTCTCTCGTGGGTCTTCAGGGCCCTTGGGCTATTGTAGCTGCATCCCTTCCTCCCTTCCTCATGATGCCAGCTGGGGCCAGAAGTAGGGATTTGGGTGGCAGCCTCTCACCCTGGACCACATAGGTTTCCCCAGAGAAGAGAAAACAGGCCTGTGTATGTGAGCCAGCCCTGTTGGGGGAAGGGGTACGTGGTTACGTGGCTTCAAGAGTCATAGATTTGTTGGCTGCGGCTGGGCAGACTATGGCTCTGATGGCTTGTGTGACCTGGCTGACCCTGGTGACTCTGGCTGCTTGAGTGACCGGGAAGACCCTGGTAGTTTGAGTGGCTCGACTGACTCTGGTGGTTTGAGTGGCTCGATTGACTCTGGTGGCTTGAGTGGTCCGGATGACACTGGTGGCTTGAGTGGCCCGGATGACTCTGGCGGCTTGGATGACTTGAATAACCCTGGTGGCTCAAGAGACCTGGATGATGACACTGGTGGCTAGCGTGTACAGGATGATTCTGGTTGCTCTGGTGGTTTGAATAGCTGTGCTGGTTTTGATGACCATGGCGACACTGGCTATAGACAGTGCGCGTTTGGTTGGCACCAGCTACGGTGCTTTCCCGGTGAGCGAGGAAATTCCCCTTCAGCTTTATCTCCACCTCCTCCAGAGCCTTCAGCTCTTCTGGGCTGATGTCCTTGGATTCCACATGGCCTCCACGCTGGTAAACCTTGGCGCGTTTTAGCATGGAATTAGCCAGGTGATGTCCCTTGGCATCAATGTCCTTGGCACATGCAGCCACCTCTGCCCATGTTTCATTGTCCATCGATGAGGTCTTTCCTGACTCCCTCTGGGTCTCTTTGGTCACTGAGGTCCCAGATACCTTGTGTTTGCTGGCAAAGGAATCTCGGTGCAGAGCCATGCCCCCTTCTCCATGTGTGGAGGTGAAGGTATCCATGTGGATAGTGGTGCTTGCCTCCACCTGCCTATTTTCACATGAGGGGCCATTGTAGCTGGCATAGTGGTGGGTGGGCAACCTCTCTTCGGAGAGGCGGCTAAAGTGAGATTTGATCCAGCTGTCATTTCCTCGGCAGGATTCGGAAGACCTGACCCCAGAAGACTCTCTGGCTGTCTTCCTTTTCTTCCTCTGAGCCCACAGCATGAGGCCTCCACCTCCTAGCACAGCAAGGACAGTCCCCAGCACCACCTTGCATGATGGTTGCTGGAGGAGCTCTAAGAAGTCCTCCAGGGCCCCAGGCCTCACACAGAGCTAAGAGCACACTGGGAGTGGTGGAGCCCAGATGGTATGGTTCATGCTTGAAAGGGCTCCGGCCCTGCGGGTGTCTGGTGGGTAGGCATCTGCCTCACCCTCCCTAGTATGCCCTCCGACACCTCAGCAATGAACCCCATTGTGAGGAAGGCAGTGGGGGTGGGGTGAGGTGAGGCCACCCCACCACTCAGACCTAGTCTGTTGGGTCTTGTCTCGTCGTCATCTGGTGCCCTCAGTGGAAACTGTCATTTAGCTATGAGGTGCTTCTGCCTTCTGCTTGCAGTACATTCTTCTGCTCTGTCCCTCTTTCCAGTTGTTGGTTTCCCTCATTGTTCCTCATCTAGTGGCCCCCAGAGCACAGAGGATAGTGAGTTAGTTTGGCCATGATAACCTGGGAAACTCTTAGCTGAACTGGCATCTATCCCTGGTCAATATCTCCTGAAGGACCCGTCTCTGCTGTCTGCACAATATATACCATCTCCTGGCTCCATTACAGGGTCCAGAAAGGAAAGGGCCCAGGAAGGAGCTCATTCTGGAACAATATGAGGTCACAATCAAGAGCAGACAAAGCAGTGGGCCGAGAAGGTGGAGTGCATACAGAGGCTCCAGGGCCTGGGGTCATTCCAGGGTAAACTACATCTTGCCTGAGATTTTTTGTTTGTTTGCTTTTTGAGACAATGTTTCTCTGCCTTGGCTGTGCTGGAACTCACTTTGTAAACTAGGCTAGCCTGGAACCCACAGAGATCCACCTGCTTCTGCTTCCCAAGTGCTGGGATTAAGGATGTGCACCACCATGCCCATCTAAGATACAGATTTTTTTTTGCCCCGGTAAATAAGCATCATGAAGTTTTGAGTAGGTGGCTGGCTAACCAGGTTCGCCACAGATTCCTGTACAATCCTGAGTAATTCCTATGTATTTGGGGTCAGAAACAGACCTGGGCTACTGTTTCCTTCATGTAGCACACTCAGAAATGCCTAGATGGTCCTGGTAAAAAGTTGTGTTAAGTACTGGAGAGATGACTCAGAGGTTAAGAGCATTGGCTGCTTTTCCAGAGGTCCTGAGTTCAATTCCCAGCAACCACTTGGTGGCTCACAACTATCCATATGGGATCTGATGACCTCTTCTGGCATGCAAACATACATGCAGACAGAGGATTTATATCCATAAATAAATCTTTAATAAAAAAAAAACCCTGCTATTTGAGGGTCAGAGAGATGGGTGGAACGCACTTGCTATTCTTCTAGGGGACCTGAGTTCCATTTCCAGCCCTTGTCAAGCTGTAACTCTAGCTGCAGTGGATCTGACACCTCTGGCTCCTCTGGTGACTGTACTCAATATGCCCATGCCCACGTGCAAGCACACATACCTACACAAAGTTAAAAATAAAATATTTTTTAAAAGTTGTTACTGGACATGGTGGCGTACACCTTTAACCCCAGCACTCAGAAGGCAAAGGTAGGCAGATCTCTGTGGGTTCAAGGTCAGCCAAATCTACAAAGTGAGTCCTAGGACAGCCAGGGCTATGTAGAAAGTCTGTCTCAACCTCTTATCTCCCTCAAAAACTATTATTTGAAATATTTTCTTTGATCAAGTAATACTTTTATATATACAGAGATTTTTCAGAAGGAGCTGAGTTCCACTCTTCATGCGGAAGAAGTAAGGCACAGCTAGCAGCTTGAAGGGACCTCACCGCTCCAGCCTTGTTGAATATCCCTGTGAGTGTCTACTAGATTCATTGGAAATAACAACTCAAAGTCCATGTATGAGGCTGTTTACAGGGGTGAGTTCAGGGCCACTGGCCCTTCCTAACAACCCCTCCCTCGAGTCCTTTGGCTATAACCTTTTAAAAGTTTTATTTTTATTAAAAAAATTTAAATTAATGGCAGGCGTGGTGTTGCACACCTTTAGTCCCAGGAGTCAGAAGGTAGAGCTAGGTTGATCTCTGTGAGTTTGAGGCCAGCATGGTCTACAGAGTGAGTTCCAGGACAGCTAGAGATACATAGAGAAACCCTGTTCCAAAAAAAATAAAATATAATTACATTACTTCTCTTTCTCTTCCCTTTCCTCTGTCCAACCTTCCCTCTCTCTCCCTGATTCACTCCTTCCCCAATTGTTGGCCTCTTTTTCTTTATTGTTACACATATATGTATAAATACGATAAATACAACCTGCCAACTCCATGTGTACATGATTTCAGGGCTGACCACTTTGTATTGGATAACTAATTTGGGGGTTCATCCCTGGGAGAAGCTAATTCTCCCTCTCTCAGCAGTCATCAGTTAGCTGTAGTTCTCTTTCTAGGGGTGGAGACCCTATGAAATTTCCCCATTCCAAGGTAGCACATCTATTGATATTGTCATTGTTCAGGTCTTGTTTAGGCACACCATGTTTGGTTATGACTTTTATTTTACTTAGTAAAATTTAAAAGCTTAAGGATACAGTAACTTTTTACCCAAGGCCCACTTTTATAACCATAAAACTCTGTGCACCACACTCGAGTCTGTATTGTGCACAACGCCCTATGCTTGCTGTGGTACTAACACCATTTCTGATTTTCTTGGTCTCAGAGGGAGAGCTGCTCCTTCATATGATTGACAAGCTTTTGCAGAGTCTGTAATTCTCTTAACTATCAAAGACATCCCTTATCCACAAATTAAGACCCACGCTCTCTTTCCCAAATAGCTAATGGTGGTTGCTTTTTTTGCTAACCATCAAAAGCAGCCACTGCATAGCTTTGAAATCTTCCTTGTCATTTGTTTTTTGTACTTCAATGGAACTATTTTGGTTTAGAACTGACATGTATTTTCTATATTGCAAACAGAGGGTAAAAATTTTGCATGCTCTTTTCATTATTTATTGTGTGTTTTGTTTGTTTGTTTTTATTATTATTTTATTTTATGTGCATCAGTGCATGTATGTCTGTGTGAGCATGTCAGATGTTGGAGTTACAGACAGTTGTGAGCTGCCATGTGGGTGCTGGGGATTGAACCCAGGTCCTCTGGAAGAGCTGTAAGTGCTCTCAACCACTGAGCTATCTCTCCAGCCCCCTTGTTTGGTTTTTTGAGACAGGGTTTCTCTGTGTAGCCTTGGCTGACCTGGAACTCCCTCTGGGAACCAGGCTGGCCTTGAACTCATAGCGATCTGTCTGCCTCTACCTCCCAAGTGCTGGGATTATAGGCATGTGTTACCACTGATATGATATCAAATATCATATCAAATATGATATTTGATAAGGCATTAACTAATTTGTCTAAAACAATAAAAATGTTTTACATGTTGGGGGGTACAGGTGTCATGGAATGCTCGTGGAGGTCAGGAGATGACTTGCAGAAGTCGGCTATCTTCTTCTACCTTATGTAGGTTCTGGAGGTTGAATTTCAGTCATCAGGCTTGGCAGCAAGAACCCTTACCCAGTGTGTTATCTCACCAGCCCCTTAACTTTTATTTTAAAGGAATACTCTTCATTTAAATAATCAGCACAAATTAGCAATACTTTAAAAATAAAGATAAAAATGACATAGCAGGGCAGTGGTGCATGCCTTTAATCCCAGCACTCAAGAATCAGAGGCAGGTGGATCTCTGAGTTCGAGGCCAGCCTGGTCTACACAGTGAGTTCCAGACAGCCAGGGCTACACAGAGACACTCTGTCTCCAGAAACATAAAAAGGAAGGAAGGAAGGAAGGCAGGAAGGAAGGAAGGAAGGAAGGAAGGAAGGAAGGAAACTCTGTGCTCACAAAAGCACCAAGGGCAAGCTCCCATCTCCTCTTTAGAGGACTTGCTGCCCACTGATGCAAAGTAGCATGTGACAGCTATCTCCACCTGCCCCTTGGACTGCATAGTCTATTCCAGAAAGCAAGAGAAACAGATTTAATGTTTTGGCTGCATGCTGGAGCTGTGACTAGACCCCCTGACTCTGTGTCCTCTATGCCAGCTGTATGGTTGACCATCTTGGGGGAATTATGTTGAACTCCATGCCTGAGAGCCCGAGGGGTTAGTTCCTGTTCTCAATCAAGGAAACTGGATTACAGAGGGGTTGTTATTTCTTAATCGCTATGATAGCCAGAGCAGGAGTCTTCTACCTCCAGACACTGGGCTTTTCCTCTCACAGCCACCAACTTCCTGGTATGTGGTGAACGGAGGAATCATACACCATCAGGAACCCATAAACCAAATCCCTCCCAAAACTGTCCAGGGTATGCCATACTGGTTACTGGAGTTAGGGAAGCAAAAGGAAGATCCAGAGATAATTCTGGAGGTCCCTGTGAACTCCTGGATGTTAGAAACACAGTGGATACAAAAGCCAGTCCTCTGGCCCCTGCACTAGAGTATTCTCGATCCTTAAGCTGAAGCAGAAAGTTCTCTGAAGCTAAGCATTGTCATGCTTTACTTTAAGGAAATCAGGTCTCAGCCTGACTTCAGACCACCATAAGCAAGGTCCAGTAGATGTACTAGCTCTGTTCAGTATGTGTACCCATAGACCATTTATTTGTCCCTTGACAAACACTCCTATCACCTGACTACTGAGGTGGGCTCAGTTGGGCCACCAGTCACTATCACAAAGCAGCTTTGCCACAATGCCACTTGCACTTTTAATAATTATCATCTCAGGAATCAATACCTCCAAATGAACAGCACTCTAGGATTTACACCACGCTTTCACTCACATTCTTCCAGACTCTTCCTCTAGCTACCCCATGTAAAAGCATTATCACTCCCATGTGTCATATGGGAAAGAGGCATAGAGAGCATCCCATAGTAAGGACCATTGGCGGAGCTGTGATTGGAAACTAGAGGTTGCTATCCTAGCTGCTAACCTGTACCTCAGTCAGAGCCACACCATTCTCAAAACCGGTACCCACCAAACAGCATTAGTTGGAACAGTCTTAGAGGGGGATCCAGCAGCTTAGGAGGTGTTAGAATCGGTGGACAGAATGGAGCGTATAATCGGCTAGTTCAAATCTCAGCCCAGCTATGTGTAAACTGAGTGACTTTGGACAGTGACCCCATCTCTCAGATCGGCGTGCAAAACAAGAGGTCAACCAGAGGCGCCAGCATGCTGAGGAGTAGTTCTGCCAGGCAGGCTTGGCAGAACTACCAACAGCCTTCCGATCAGCAGAAGGCCTGGTAGACACGGATGTCCCCATTCACTGTCCCACGTGATCCCCACAATAATCCCGGGAGCTGAGGTGCCTCAGCCCTCCACGGCTGGGGAAACAAAGGTAGGTGAGGCTCTGTCCACGGCGTCACACCTGTGTCCCCTCCCTGGATCTGGCTCCCCAACGGCCCTCTTACCTCGGAAGGGGAAGGCGCTGAGTTTATTCAGGTTCTCTTCCAGTTTCCCGTAGTCTACCTCTGCGGTGGCGGTGAACGGGGTGGTTATGGGTGGGTAGATACCGGCAATGTCTATCTTCTTCCCCTTCGCATTCCTAGACAAGCCCCTGCTCAACCCCTGCCTCATGGAGGCCCACATCTGGGGGCCTAGCATTTCTGCAGGAGGGCTGAGGCCCAGCTGTCTATGGCCACAGGGGAGCTGAGTTGGACTCCGTTTCCCACTGTTAATGATCAACAGACCCAGTTAAAAATTTGTGTCCTCAGCCCACAACTTGGACATCGGGGGAGTGCAGCTTAAGGGCGGGGCCTAGAAGCTCCAGGCAGACTTCTTGGCTGCCGGGAAGCAGTAGGAGAAATGCCACAACTCAGGCCTGAAAGAGAGCTGGCTCCTTGGGCCCTCTTCCCACAGCCCCAAAGCCTGGAGCCACCCCGACCCCAAAACACACACGACCTGGATCTCCAGGCTGGTCTGAGCCTGACGGAGTGATTGGCTGAGCTGGCCTGGCCCTGATCCACAGTAGCCAGCCGTTGGTTGCTCAAGAATCAGCAGTGAAAAACCACGCCTCCTGTCTACCAGGCTTCTGCCAGGCCGCTGTGTGTTAATCCCTCTGCTGGCCACACACAGACACACACCTCCAAAGAACAGTCTTGGAGATGGAGGGCAGAGGACCAATATACCACAGAGTAGAATATATCACAATCCTGGCCCTAGGGATTAGGGAAGAAAAGTAGGATGATGCGGACAAAGCAAGGCCAGGCCAGAGTAGGGAAACCGCTTAACTCTGGAGTCAAGGGACTCCACATTCCCCTTGTTCCCAAGTTCACACCCAGTCTTCGTTCCTACATGAGCACAAATGGACCCAAACACCACAAATAGCAAAGACGGCACTTTATTGTGTTGAGTCTGTGGGTGTTCCTGCCAGACTGGCTGCAGGCAGCTCATCTCATAGCAGAGGACTACTGCCCAGTTGGGGTAGCTATTTCCTGGGCTGGTACAGGCTGGGGGGTCTCACGCCCACTCCCAGGCCTCTCCAGTCCGTTCTGTTCAGATTCTGTTTCAGGATGCTCCAGGGCATGCCGGGTGTCTGCTTGCCATAGTTGGACCAGATCTGTGGGGGTCTTTCCTGCCTGGAAAAAAAAAATGAAGAAGACTATTCAGGCTTCAACAGCTCACCAGAAACTGCTCTTGACTACATTGGTGGTTCTCAACTGGAGGCAAATGCACAGGGGCAAAGACATCCTGCATTTCACAACCAGAGGTTGTGGGTGCTACTGGTATCTAGTGGGCAGAGGCCTGGGATGCTGCATAACCCTCCTACAATGCACAGGAAAGTCCCTCCATTGTGAATTGCATGGCACCAATGCCTGCAGTGCTGAGGCTTTGACCATCTACAGCCTCTCCGCAGCTCCTTGCTCTCCCCAGTGTCTCTTAGCCCTTCTTGTGCCAGAAGAACCTTTCCATGCCCCTCTTGTGATTGTTCTGTGGCCTAAAAGATAGGCTTGGATTTTCGGAAAGCCTGAGGCCCGCTGCGTGATGCGCTACAACAGTCACACCAGCCAAGGACTTGGATTCTCTTCCATCTGGACCTTCAGGATTGGGCCTGAACACTGGGATCCCCTTTGCCATATGTGGGGGCCTTGGCAAAGTCCTGTCACTACCTCTCCTACTGTTTCTCTGAACTTGTGGTCTGGACCTTGACAGAGAGATCTGGGAAGGTGGGCGATTAGGGTGGCATGGCCAAGAGCCAATGACATGTGTACCTCAGCTGGGGCTGCCCCATTGCCTCTACAGACCGTCCACTATATAGCCACTGCTTTACGTGCTCATCCTCCCACCAAGCAAGCCGGAGAAATGAACTCACCAGGTTCTTAGCCATCATATCAGCCCCATGTAAGAGCAGCAGTTTGATGATTTTGTAGCGGTTGAGTCTCACAGCGTCATGTAGGGCACTGTCCCCTTCCTAGAGTTGGGGTAGCACACAGCATGACCAGTAGGGTCAGTGGGTGAGTAGGGTTATAAGAGATGGGCATTGCTCAGAAGCTGCAGCCCTAGGGTCTTGTTGGGAAGGACTACTCACCCATGGCAGCCTGGGATCTGCCCTTACACCCATGTGCTGAGGAGGGGAAGAAGTAAACACTCACCCTGTCTTTGGCATTGATATCCAAGCCCAGGGAAAGAAAGTGTTCCACAATCTCCACGTGTCCGGTACGAACAGCTACATGCAGGGGAGTGCTCAGGAGCTAGGTGGGGAGGAAGCCAGACAGTTGGCACATGGGGCCTGGAATATGTGTTCTGGGGTGGGGGAGCTATCTTATCTCTAGCATATTCCTACTTCCAAGTCTAAGCGCCAAGGCCAGAGCCTTGGACAGGAGACAATGGTCAGCATGCTGCTATCCTTCCTAGCGGTCTAATTATACAGCTCTAAGTGTTGCCTCCTCTGGCTACCCTGTTGTAGTTCCCCTCTGGCCTAGCAGTGAGCTACTACTGTCCACCCCTCTACGCTTTTTAAAAAGATAGGGCCTCACTGTGTAGCTCAGGTAGCTACAAACTCTCAATTCTCCTGCCTCTGTCTCCCAAGAGGTGAGATTACAGAGGGCACTGCTATGCCTAGGTTCTTTTTTAATTAATTGGGATGCTGAAGATTGAGCACATGCTAAGCAAGGATGCTACTACTGAGTCACCCTCCCAGCCCAGTTTTTAAAAATAATTTTTTTCTTTTCTTTCTTTTTTTTTCTTTTCTGGAGACAGGGTTTCTCTGTGTAGTTTTGGAGCCTATCCTGGCACTCGCTCTGGAGACCAGGCTGGCTCGAACTCACAGAGATCCGCCTGCCTCTGCCTCTCGAGTGCTGGGATTAAAGGCGTGCAACACCAATGCCCAGCTAAAATAATTTCTTTAATGAGACAAAAATCTCACTGTGTAGACCAGGCTGGCCTTGAACTTAGAAATCCTGCTGTCTCTGCTTCCTGAGTACTGGAATTAAAAGAGTGCACTACCATGCCCAACTTCTTTTTAATAATCATATCAGATGCCAGTAATTGAGAGATGGCTGTGATAGATATTGAAAAAGCCTCATATGTTAAAAAGTAATTCATTTACAAACATTCCCCTCCTAATCTATCTAAGAACCCACAAGTTTTATAGCGGAAGAACAGTGTCTCAGAGGTCAAGGTTGCATGTAAAGAAACAGATGGATAGAAGGATGATAGATTAATAAGTAAATGAATAAATTGACGGGTGGGCAGGTAGATGATGAAGAATGGCATGGACATACAAATCCTACAACTTCCCAGTGGACCACACCTCCACGCGAGTAGGTCTGTTGTCCTTCCCTCCTCTCAGCACTGCTCCACAGCCACTCTCGAAAGCAGGCCAGCCCACTACTTACCTACCACTTGAGCTTACTTGCCCACTGCTGTGCCTTTCCCTCCCTGCAGCACCCGAACGTGCACTGCACCAAGCACCACAGCTTCACCTTGTCTCTCACATTGGTATTGGCTCCTTGGCTTTGCAGGAGTTTCACCACCTCCAGGTGTCCTCCGCGGCAGGCCCAGTGCATGGCTGTGCAGTCCAGCTAGAAGGGATGGATGGCACTTAATGGCAGAACTGTAGGGAAGAAAGTTCTCTGGGGAAAGGATTGAAGCCAAGAAGGTGAAGGACAAAGAAAGAAAGAAACAAAGGAAGAAACAAAGAAAGGAAGGAAGGACGGAAGCAAGCAACCGGGAGTAGGACAGACAACCCAGGCCCAACTAGTCCAAGTGAGAGCCACAGTGGCAACTCAGGGGGGAGATCGGGCTTACCCAGTGTCACAGAACACACAGAGGTAGGGCCTGCCCCTACTGGCAGCCTACTGGCACAGATTTGACAGAAGTAGAATTCTATTGATACTAGATCCACTTCTTACCTCCCACCCGGTACCTGCCCTCTCACCCGATCCTGGAAGTCCACGGTGGCCCCATTCTCCAGAAGTTTCTGCAATATCTCCATGTGACCCTCCAGGGAGGCTCGATGCAGTGCTGTCCGACGGAACTGCCCCCAGAGAGACTGTTAGGCCTGAGTGCCAGGCCTGAGCCTTTATCCCATCAAACTGAGATCTTGGCCTTGCCAAAATTTGGTGCCCATGTGCTCTGTGTTCAGCCAGATTTTACTCAGATTGGCCTTGGAGCCCTGCCCCAGTGCTCCAGCCTCTTCACTCTTCCTCAGGCAGCCAGCCATGCCTTCATACAGCTGGCTCCTCTGCTGGGCATAGCTTTTCTGCCCTCACATGCTGTGATGCTTGGTGATGATTTACAGCTCATGTGCCATGATTTCATTGAGACCTCTATGCCAAGCTGCACCCAGGTGATTCCTGAGTAAAAGGGAGCATTGACGGGCTGAACTCTATTTCCCCTAGTGCTAGGCAGGGCCCAGATGTGCAGGTCACACCTGATTTCAAGGAAGGAACAAACTTTCCTCTCTCAAGGCCACTTTCTGCTTTGGATTCAGGGAACCGTGGTGCCATTATGCAAGTCTTTCTTTTTTTAATTTTATTTATTTGTTATGTATACATTATTTCTGCCTGAACACCAGAAGACATCAGATCTCATTATAGATGGTTGTGAGCCACCATGTGGGTACTGGGACTTGAACACAGGACCTCTGGAAGAATAGCCAATGCTCTTAACCTCTGAGCCATCTCTCCAGCCCCTATGCAAGTCTTTCTACAAGCTAATAATCTGGTTATGGGCAGTCTTTCATAGCCTTCCTCTCGTTTTTCCTTGTTTTGTACTCTTAGTTTACAGGAAATGGGAGAAAAAAAATTAAGACCCTGGAGGCAAAAGAATTGAAAAGTTGTAATCTAGTATAACGCAGAGCAGGCCCAAGAGTGGGTGGCCATTGGCAGGCTTGGTCCCATGTGAGAGGTGAGAGCAAGGAACATCTTAAATTGCCAAGAGGCAATTTCAGAGGAAAAAGTACCACAGGTGACAGGAAAATTTAAAAAACAGATGGTGGTCATAGTCGCACAACACTGTGGTATTATTAGTGCCACTCTGAATCAGCATGACATATTTCATCTTATATAAAAATAGGGGCTCAGATGAGACTCAGTGGTAGAGCACTTGCCTAGCATACACAATGCCCTGGCACTGCAAATAACATTAACGATATTAATAAATAATGGTACATGGCTTTAATCCCAGAACACAGAGGCAGAGAGGCAGGCATATCTCTGTGAGTTCAAGGACAGCCTGGTCTACATGGTGAGTTCCAGGAGAGCCAGAGCTCCACAGTGAGACCTTGTGTCAAGATAAATAAATATAATTGTAAAAAGACGAATGAGAAAGAAAGAAAGAACCCTATCTCAGCACACGCTTTATAATCTTTTCTCCCACTCAATGCATTTTGGTCCATTTGATCATACACAATGGGAAGGCAGTAGGTTATGGTCACTGTAGCAGAGTCTGAGTCTTGGAGAGGGAACAGCCCAGTCACAGGTTCCACAACTAGGGAGTGAAGACAGGATTTTGGCTCAAATCCTGAGCCTGAACTCTGTCATCATCATCTTCTTCTTTTTTTTTTTTTCCCCCCGAGACA